TTTGTCTTAGATATGATGAGCCCAGGTAAGACGGCGGTCGAGAGGTTTTTATGTCGGTAGGTGGGGAACAAGTGTGTTCTGAATTTGGCAGAATTTTTGGTTGGGCACCCGTAGGTATCTGCTATATGCCCGGGTGGGGGATGGCCGCACTTGTTCTCCGGACACTGTGACTTGCCCGAAGAAAAATGCCGCCCGTGACCAAGGTATCGAGCCGGCGTCGACTGCGTCTCAGCGTCTTAGACCTCTCGGCCACTCCGTCCTCCCTTATATAATTATATTCTATTCAAAATATTCTTTGATCTTGCCAGTATCGATATTGATTGATGATGGTTGTTGATTTCGTTTCGGTTAAATTAATTAATTCGTCCTTTTAGTATCGTTTGACGAAACTGAGCATTTCAATTTTAAATACCTCTTCTTCGCAAAACTCATTACGGACTTTATGATGAACAGATCAGAATGACAATATTACGCTGTAATGCTGCACGATCACTATGATCACTATAATAAACTGCAGGATAACAAACAAACAATATTGATACACAAAACGTATAATATTATTATTTTAACTATTATTTACTGCGAGGTATAAACACAAAACCATATTTACGGGTGAGTATACGGATATAATACTGGCATTGTTTGCGCTCTCTCTATTGTTTTTCTCTTTCATAATAAATATCGTAATTTATCAGTTGTACATTCATTTATTATTATAAAAACATTGCTCTTTTGATGGCTATAGGGAATAAATTATAATGTAATTACAGACTACAGTACTTGTTACAAAAATATAGTTCTGTTGTTACATTAAAGCGTTTCTTTCCGTTAGTAGGTACCTACTACTAAGACTGATAATAATAATTATTTGAAATGTTGGATAAACTAGTTTTTTTTTAAAAATTATTTAAGCTAAGTTTATCAAGTTAGATTCGATAAAGAGAAAACTAAGATACTTAGCCCATTTTGAAGAAAAATTAACGTTATCTAAAGGTTTTAATTATGTACAATAAATCAATGGTATTTAAACTTAGAAAATAATTTAAATAATGTTATTTTTATGTTATTTAATATAACATAATAATATATGAGTTGAAACCAACGGTAAAAAAAACGTATTATTTACAATCAAACAAGTCAAACATAAAAAAAAAACCCTTAAATTAGCTAAATGACATGTTTCCTGTAAGGCATAAAAAAAGACAATCTCGTGTATTCTAGTATCAAAGAATCTTTCTTTAATAACATAAAAACTTATTTGTGCAACTTGTATATTACATAACAAGCACATAACCTAATATAGTTACTTATAAAGTTATATAGGTATCTACATTATTATCTTGTATTTATTTTCATGTATTCAGGTTTTCAAAAAAGTCATAATATATAAGCGAAAACAAAAAAAAACCAACATTGTAAAATGTTAATATATCATAATATACATATAAAGAGCCGTAGACATTTAAAATAATATGAACCCTTATTATTATAGTCCTTAAAATATTAACAATCCTACGAATTCATACCGAACCCCGCCAGAACACGGAATAATAACGATTTTCGGCTACTCGGGCGACTCGCTATTTTGCTATTTATTATTATTTTATTATTATAGGTACTCGAATAGTGGTCAAAAAATTTATTAATTTTTTTAAACCCTTATATTTATTAATTATTTCTACACTATGATTTGCCGTAGTCCGTAGACGCGATCACAGCAGTTTGTGAATAATAATGATATTATGTATATTATGTGGACACAGACGACGCCGTGTGTATATAATAATAATAATAATAATATGATAATAAACGACCTCAACAAACCCGTGCGGTCGCCGTGCACGTAATGGAGCGTACTGCTCGAAATACAAGGCGCTCAAACTGTGTACAAAATAATAATAACAATAATATATTGCGATAATATCATTTTAATCCTGTCGTGGAAACGGACACCACCGCGAATTTTATAGTCTGCTGAACAACAATAAAGCTCCGGTGGCGATTATTATTATGTACGCAAGCACGCCGGACAAACGATATAATAATAATAATAATAATATACTCATAATACAAATGCGTTGTACGAGATCCGTCGCCGTCGTGTTATTATTACGATAATATTATATTTTTATAATATTGTAAATTTTGTCGTTCAAAGTTTATCGGTTGGTTTTTTCTCCTATTTACCCACTCTCGACCCTTCACGTGATAATAATAATTAACATAATAATTTAACAACGTTCACACACCTCCCCCACTAGGACTAGATTTCCACCGTTCAAAATGATTTAAATCAATAATATATATATTTTGTTAATATTGTTATCATCCATGCAATATAAATTAATGTGAAAAATGAACTATATTAATATATTGTATACGATGCCGTTTTATTAGGCGTGCAGTTGATAGGTTAAGCCCGAAACACCACAAATAATTATATTTACCACCCTTGTTTTTAAGCTGTTTGATATTGATATTATGTTATATTTAATAATGGATGAAAAAAATGATTCTCTTTTTAAACTCACACGCGGGAGTTCGTGCTGTAATTAAAATATGAATATAAATGCAGTGCTCGTTAATAATTTACTTAAAGTATGTTTTCTTAGTATTCATGAGAAATTTAACAAGATATACAAATGAATTCATAAAAGATCATATGCCCTTTATAATATCAAAATGTAATATGTTTAAAAGTTTAAACATAGTTAAGAGAATATAACTCGATGATATTATTATGAATTTGATATAATAAAATAAAGTATTAGTATGTTTGTATAACTTTTGAGTTGAAAAAAATTTTAAAAAAAGATTTATTTTAGCATTTCAATAAAAATATTTAGAAATTTAAAAAAATCAATTTGCAGCAATAGATAGTACCTACAATAAATAAAAGAAATCACAAATAGGTTAACTATAGGAGCTATATTATTACCATTCCATCAAATTGGTGAGTATGGTGACTGTAGTTTCACTTGACAATGAATAGGATGGCGTTCTTCTGAGGGTTACTTGTATTCCCAGAAACTTCTTTTAAGCCAATATTATTGTCTCTCAAATTTTTACGATTGTTTGACAAAAAAATGTAATTAGATTTAATGAAAAAATATTTGACTTGTTAATTAATAACTTATTCATAGAACTGCCAAGTAGATAAGGGTTGATGTAACGCTTTAACTGTCCTCTACTAATGTTTGGAAGACCACAGAAAAAATAATTGTAAGTACCTCTATTAACTCTTATTTTCATGCAGTTCTCCAGTTAATTAAATCGAAAAATCTTACGTTTAGAAAATTATATTTTTAAATTGTGTATAAACTAAAATTATATTAATATAACATTATAGTAATTCAAGCCCATGAGAGATCAAATAGATGTTAAATAAATTACAGCTTATAAGTTTATAATACAACTTATAATAGTGTATAAAAATCACTGATGTCAATTCAACATTATTATTTGTATCTAAATCGATTCATAAAATGTATGAAATAATCAACCATCGATTTCCAAGCATTTCGCCCGAGATTGAGTATTCGAAAATGAGTACCTAATATAATATTCAGTAATATTACAAATTAATAACTCTATAGTTTAATATTGAACATATTAACCACTAGCTATACTCACTATTATTTTAGAAAAGCTGATATCTATTTTGAAGTATTTAAATTTGCTTGTTTCATTCAAACTAAACAATTTTTAGGAAAAAACAAAAAAAAATTTAAATAGTTTAAAAAAAAGAGTAAAAATAGTTTGAAAATTATTCCATAATATAAAACTTTGGTGAAAATGTCCAGTATTTTTCCAGTTATTCGTTTTTGAGTTACACAAAAAAAATAATATCAAGTCGAAAACTGGTTTTGCTTAAAAATTCTCATTATCCTCTTTCGATTTTCCTGATTGTTTTGAAAAACACTGGGAGATTTCTCAGGTTCTGTTAATGAATGGTCTGCTCTTCAAGTGATTCATGTTTGTATATACTTGCCTATGTTATTGTTTTTATTTTGTAAGCGGATTGAATATAATATTTAAATAATAATAAAAAACAAATTTCTCAAAACTTCCAACAAGATCCAACTTTCTAACAAAATGCAAGTTGAAGATCGAAACATTTTTCTACTATATAATATATACCGTATTATGTGTATACTATATACAGACAAAAAAATAAAGCATAAGTATTCGCTCCATGCCGTTACTTTGTAATAAAATAAATAATAATATAAATATATAATGAAATACATAATATATAGTGTTCAGATGATTGAATATGTTATGTTAGGTACAATTGTTATTGTTATTGGTGGACGCTTTTACATAAGACTATTGGTACACATTGTCATCGAAAGTTGAGAGTGTTATTACTTATTAGATAGTTAAAGTAGAAACAAATATAACATTATTATATAGACGTTTTCAATAAATATTGTTATACTCGCATACTCCATCGAAAAATTAACACGATACATGTTTAAATATAAAAATGGTTATGCAGCTATGGATTTTTTTAATTAATTAAAAATTATTATGAAAATATGTAAGTACTTAAGCAGAACAGAGGACTATATGGAAATATGCATGGAGTATTAATACATTGTTATCGTAACAAAAATAATAAGAATGTTACAAAAACACAGCATTTACATGATAATAATAAAATTAGTATTTTACGTTTCACAGAAATAGGATATCGACATTTTATTGAAACAAAATAGCAGTCAAAATCAAAAAATATCGAATAATATACCGTCTTGAATATTATAATTTTTCTGACGGGTAAAAAAAAAAATTACATTATTAATTTATATTATATTTCACTATATAGCAATAGTAATAATAATAATAATAATAATAATAATAAAAGCTCACTACAACAATATATTTTACGTATAATCACAGATAATATAGACTGTAAATATTATACGTATAATATTGATGTATTCTATGCGTTTATATAATTATTAAACCCTATATAACGACTATATTATTATGGTTTACGGTGCGGCTCCAACATATTTTGAATCCTCAAGTGGTTGTTGTTCTGGATCCTGTGGTATTTCTATAGTCGTATCCGGGGGCAGTCTCATGTTTGACAACGCTGAGGTAGTCGTTCCGTTGCTGACGCAAGAAGAGGATCTAACGTTGTTTCCTGGTATCCATGGCATAAGTTCCTTTGGGTCCAGCTGATGATCACTGTGTATTAAATTCAATTTAATTACTACACAAATTATTATTTAGGATTGGTTTTCAATAGATATTCTGCTCGAAACCAGAAGTTTCATCACATAGGCGCCGTAGCTTTATAACATAATATTGTATAATTTATTATTTTATAGGACAGGCTACCTTTTGGATTTTTTTTTTTATTTACAATTTATACTATTAAGTATATAGGTACAATGAGCAAATTTGATAAAAAAAATATATGAGGTTCACTTGCTTGGAGAAAGTATTATTGATATCATTAAGAAGCCTTGGAAATATTTTTTACATAATTTGAATTATGAAGTTATTTAAAAAAAATGTTATTTTTTATTTTTATTATTTTTAAGTTTTTGAAACACAGTAAACATTTTACTCCAAAGAAGCAGAATATTTGTCTAAAAATGTTCATATATAAACTTAAAATTTTGAATTTTGAAAGTAGTTACCAAATATATTTAAAATAAAAATGATCGAAGTATACCTAGTAGATTAACATTTGTCTGTACACCCCTATGCCACACTACACTATTATCAAAACATTAAATAGGTACCTACTTACAAGTTATAACTTATAACTATAACTAAATACTAGTTTAAAATTTGATTTTAATATGTTTGAATTTTCATAAAAATATTTTTCTTTAGAATATGAAAATAAAAATATACGTTATTCAAAAACTAAAAAAAACATTATTATAGGTCTTCATAGCTTATACATATCGTTATTTTTCAAGTCAGTATTTGAATAAATCCTGGTCCTTAGTGGCTCAGTGTATCTATCTTACCCTAAATGTTGATTATTGTACACTATCGTACCTCCACGTTAGTTTACAGGTTTGTTGATAAATAATATTAGATTAGTTTAATAATTATAGCACAGAAATTGTGGCATAAGGAGTGAAATTAAAGCAAATATAAAAACAATTTTTTAACCATAAAATGTATAACCATATATATGACTATACCACTATATATTATTCTAATTAGATATAATTTTTTCCATATGTTTAAAACTTTTTACTGCAGAATCTTTATGCATTTAGAATTATTACTGAAACATGGTTTTAATTAAAACAACATATTATCCCTTCTACTCGTAGGTAATATGATTTGTTGCCCATTGCTATGTTAAAGGTAATTAGTTGACTAGTAAAGGTCAATAGCAACGAAAATGGTATTTATATATTACTATGAAGTAGTAAAAGGTTTTGAATTAAAATAAATACTAAACAAACATATTCTTATAGTTTTCAGTTAATGCTAGAAATATTGTTATGCTATTACAAATAATATAATATATTTAATTAAGCAGTCTAGTATACGACTAGTAAGGTATACATGCGATATCGACAATACATAAAAATCTTGTAATTACTAATTATATAATTACCTATACAAAAGGTATATGACAGATATTTATTTAGTTAAATAATTTATTAATGTCCGTACCATATTATATTGTTTTGTTTTACCGACAACCAGGACCGGCCATATTTTTCTCTCGAAGCAAGGAATTTCCGCTTCGTCTGCCATCTAGTAATGTGGTATTTCAATGTGTTTTGAACTTCATTGTTAAAAAAACAATACAGTAACGAGACGGTGAACCCCTAACAGATAAATTGTTACACGGTAATCAATAAATTGTGCATAGATATTCAAATATGATTATTATAATTGTGTATAGTAACAGATTCAAACATGATGTTTGTATTAGGGTAAAATACGATCACGTACGGCATGAGCGGGCATTTAATTGAATTCTTGAAGGGGCTATCATTATACAAAGTAAAGTGGTTATTACCTACTATTTACATGGTTATGCACACTATTCGATATTGAGGGGCTATTGAAGTTTCTGGGTCATTAACCTCCAGAAGCCAATGTCCGCCATGGCGTACCTTGACCATAGATATTAAAGAATGGACAGGTCATGGCTATATTAATAAATTAGAGGAAATTGTTCCGGAATGAGGAAGAGAGAAAGACTGATTTTTATCATTGGCACTCATTCTAGCAGAGTTCTTATCATACATTTTACATAATAATCATAGACATATTAACAAAGACATTTTTTTTTTTATTAATATGTCTATGTATAATATATAGAGTTAAGACCTCTATAACGTCAAAACATTTTGATGTTTGTTCCTGTATGATAAGCACAAATGGCCCATTTATTCTTCAATGTCTATGACGGTGACGGTGCTTATGGGTGGAACTTTGTGCATTTTTTTTTTTTTAATAATAATTAATTATTGAAGATGTTAAAATGTTAAATTATAGTATTATTGGTTATAAAAATCAAAAAAGTATTAAAAACGTTAAGGACGGTATCCATTACATCGTTGGAATTTTTTCAAAACTGATAAAACACATTTACTTTGAATATAATATTCGAATATTGTAAATATATTGTACAATAATTATAAATTTTACAACGTTGTAGCCTAAAATCTAAATAATATGCAATCGAGTCGTATTGAAGGGATTACTGTGATATTCGAACTATGTCATATTGGCATCCATTCTGTCCCCCCACCCCATAAAATCTAATCTGTCCTTTGATCAAAATATCTTTTATTATTACTATTTAGACATATTGTTGTCATATGAGAGCGCATACAAAAATCCGAAAATATTGTGTCCTAATCACATTTCAGCCGAAAAACCCTCTGCCCTATTATGCGTGCTAGTATAAAATAAACACAACAAATTCAGAATAAAAAAAAGTCCAGGGGATCTATGTCCTCATTACCCCCCCCCCTCTCCCGTGCGTTTTCTTGTCCAATATCGTGTTATATAAATATTATATGTAGGTATTTCAGATGTATGATTATAATAGTAGTGTGTAGTGACTTGTGAGTTGTGCTTACCTGCGTACTGATAATTACAACTTTGCTGAATTTGTAAAGATTAACCAGTAGTCCCGTGGAACTCGGATTGATCATATCCAAACAAAAAGTGATGCCCAGTAGTGGTATCAACACTAAAAGAGCTTTGGTGGCCTTTTTGTAGTTGTGCGTTTCTGCGGATTTGGTGGACCTTATTTTGGTTATCAGCACCTTACGAAAACAGGTGATAAAAATGAACGTCATAATAATTAATATGTTTGACTATAATTGCACAGACTATACCATGGTTGAAATAAACAGGTTATTGCATATCGACTCGGATTGTATCATAAGAAACAAAATGGCTGCGTAAAGGGATATCACAAATATCAATTTTTCTTATCATCAAAAATACGCCGAAAAAAGCTTACAAATTCAAAATCCCTCGCTTACATACTTGATTATTATTGGCTCCCTTTACGCTGCCATTTTTGTTTTTATCATTAAATATTTGATTGAGAAGGGGTGTATATGCAATAACCTTGTATATTTCAACCATGGACTATACTATTATTATAACTTATAAGTATAAGGTCTACAATATTACTCTATAGACTACTGTTGTTTTCAGCGAAATTACTTACCCGCATAATTTTTACAAGGAATATAGAGTTGATCAGCAAAACGATAACTATCGGTGACTGGTATATCCAATCGTCTACGTATGAGGCCATTAAGGGACAGTATCTTTCGTATGTGATCTGGTTGTACAAATCTAACTGGATAGAAAATTAGCATCAATTATTATGTCTATCATTATTATCTGTTCTACTTTCAGAGGTATCCAATGATTACTTACGTCGTTTTTCGTCGGCACCAAAAGTCTTGTGACGCACCAAGTGGGAATAATGATTAACGGTATTCCTAAAATGTAAATCCATTAATATTAGGTATCAATGTAAGATATCGAGATAATACACCGAGGTAAATGTCTGTCGATAGTATAATCTGCTGCAGCCATGTAGCTGATTGTGGATTTAGCTGAATAATTATTAATTTCAAATTCGACATACTCATTATTATAGGTATTCATTATTAAAACGGACCAATTTCAATGTACCTATGTATGTATGTATGTATATATGTATGTATGTATGTATGTATGTATGTATGTATGTATGTATGTATGTAATATGTATGTATAATATATGTACCTATGTACGTATGTAATGTAAAAAGGTGGGTTCCACTGTACCGTACTGTAGGTGTTGTGTGGCCACGTGGGTCACTGTAATGGATGTAATCATTGTACATGAAAAACGATTCTTAGCACATAATATGGTCTGTCAGCCTATAGAGTATAGATATTATTATAATATTTTGAAATTAAAAAAATAAATAAAATCGTTATTCTCCGTTTAAATACCTAATTTTGTTCAAATTGAAGTTAAAATATCTTGCCACCCCCCCCCCCCAAAAAAAAAGTAGTTAAACTTAAATCTCACTATGGTGTCTGCGTACAGTAATGCGTCTCGTGTCATAAACCACCGTAATTCAGTTAGCGATAAGTCGACTGCAGAGAGTATTCTACGCAAGCAGATGTCATGCACCGATAACGGTAGGCGCTTCGGGACTCATTAATGAGAGTTCAAACAATATTACAATAATCAGGAGAAGGCAAACGGTTGGTCGTTGACCATTTAAAAATTGAAAACCCCTTCGCAAGAATGTATTACCTGTTATAAATTTAGTTTATGAGTCACCATTATATTAGGTAAGTACCTACCAACATATATATATATATTCATGTAAGTCGATTCCGAATGGAAAAATATATTCTCAAGTCGATCTATATTAAAAAAAAGTTTGGCCACTCCTAACTTATTTACAACAAGGTAAATAAATATCTTTGGAAACCCGGAAGCAGACACGCACGGACATTTGAAAGAGGTTTTCGTTTTTTTATCATTTTTCTTTTTTAACATTTTATTTGCATCGTATATTACATCCTCTGTATAGGTTATTATATTATAAGGTGGAATAACCGATCGAGTACGCTATTGCTATTTCGCTGAATATAACATTACGCCTGTTACTCTGTTACACTGTTACCCGAGACTCGAATGGTAGTTACATAATGCACGCGTCAGTGTGACAGTGTCCTATGCACCGTCAGTGGGTACTGTTAGGGAATGTTTTGTCGACGGGAATTCAATTTTTTTTATAAGTATAGGACCATATTATACGAGTTAACGAAATCATCGCAAATAGATATATTGTGAAATCTGATAAGGACAATAATATATTATATCACGTATACATGTATAATACATCTATGAAAATAACGATTCGGTATACGTGTTGTTATTACAGCTTGAAAATTTGATGGCTCAAGTATGATAACCATTTAATATTGCATACACCGGAGACGGAGAAAAATGTATAAACTAAAGTATTTTACCATATAGAACGACAAATATTATTTATTACATATTAGCTACATGGATGCTTTTAACTTTACAATACATACGTTATATATACTTTATATATACGTTCGTTATTTATGTTATTAAAAAGAAAAATGTTTGGGTATTGTGTGTGTTAGCGATCCAAAGTCAATAGTCAATCGCACTATTATAGTTCTGAAATTTGGTACATAGATACTCAATACCTGATCCATATCTTTTAAGGAAAAGGTAATTAAATACTGGCGAGGATGTGCAATGCAAACACTGTGCATAGTGAAGCCAATTTTTAAAATTTTGCATTTTGAAGACAGGAATTTGATGGCTCACAAAAAACCGAATACTTGTTTATTTGTTAACAAAATAAAATAGATATAATGAATATTTATGATTGTATATAATTTTAGATCTGTATGTTATATTTGGTCAAAACCACCCAAATTACTTAGTTGAAAATAAGTGTAGTTTATATTTAATATTTTAACGGAGTTATGACAGTGTAAATCCACTGGTATTAATGTATTATTTAATTTGTCACGGGCAACGCCATGCAGGATCAGCTAGTATTTTATAAAAATAAATTGCTCCAAATTGTTTCTATAAGATATTAATATTTAATTAAACACTTAAAAATATCTTTTGAGCTACAATAACGTGATGACTCACCCAAACACACTACAAATGATTTTTATATAAAAAAACAATATTGTTATTTATTGTTATTAATTTACCATCGTGTCTTACTCTTACAAGTCACAGGTGTATAACAATAAACTAATTATACTTATACATTTTGTTTTACATTTTATGATTGGATCACTAATTAAATTTTGGTTTTACAATATAAAAAGTATCTAATAAAATATGCAGGCTTTATACGAACCGACAAATATTTATTTTACTAATAGGTAGGTAATTTGTTGTCATTTATTACATACAAATTGAATATTAATTTTAAAGTTTAATGGATGTAATAATCCTACGACAAATATCAATATTCATTATACACCCGCTCACAGAAAATAAGTTCTTTTTTTAAATAATATTAAATGTATTTATATATGTATATTAAATTAATTTCTTTGTTCTCTCAAAACCAGCTGTAAAACATTTTAAAACCCAATGGTTTTTGACGCCACGGGTCACAATAAAAAATAATATAATAATAAGTCTCTCGAGAGAAATAAAATACAAGATAGTTTTTTTTTAAATAACCCCTTTATATTTTAGAATATTAAATATTAATTAAGTAGAAAGAAATTTGTATGCTTAGGAATACAATTAAATTAAAATATATATAAAAAAAATATATTATGAATTAATTAAGTAAATTAGTTTTACCCTGCATATTAGGTCAATTTCAAATAGTGTTATTAAATTCTTATTATATATTATATTATGAACAAACCACATAATAGAAAATGTTAAAATTGTCTTCATTTTACATATATGCAATATATATATAGGTACCATTTACAATGTGTATCAGTTGCTTACTTAGACCTAAACTTAAATTTTGGGGTAGATTTTAAATCTAGAAATAGGGTGATAAAACTGACCAAAAAAAATTCCACGATCTATAGGTAGAATAGGTACACGTATTGTTTTTATACAAGTAAAAAAATAGCTAACGAATAAGCAACAATCTCTGAAGGCTGCAAAATATAAAGTCCACATTAAAAATAAGACAAAAATATTATACTTTTATAAGTTTCAAAAGTATATAAAATAGTATTATATATTATATATTCAAAACTGTTAATTATGATTTATGTCCATATTTAAAACATTAAAAAGCGTATTTAGTTAGTTTGATACCATTTAAATATCTAAAGTTAAACACCATTAATTCACACTGTTCCACAGAGATCTATTAGTGTGTAGAAACACTAGAAACTATATAGCTGTATTTTCTATTACTTAATTATTTAGAAAAATCCAATTTTTCAAGTAAAAAACAAAATCTACTGCTACCTTTAAGTTTTTGCTATTGGTGGTACACTCAAATACAAATATTGATTTTAGTCTTAGAAGAAAGAGCAATTTAAATTATAATATCGCTTTGTCATTGTATGAAATAATGATACACAAATTGTTTTCAAGAGATATTTGTGGAAAATTTGCGATAGTGAAAGACATAGCAGAATGATGAACATTTGTCTACTTTTATATAACTGACAACAAACAACGGGACAAATGGACAATGCATTTATAGGGTCATGAGAATATTTGGCATAAAATATTGGATAGCACATTATTGGTGCAAAATCAAACTTCCTTGAACTTTATGCTTTGTTCAATCTCTTAAATCCTCTTAGCTTATAAGTAATAGTTATGTTGTATTATAATTAATAAAATGTGATATTTTAGTCTTCAGATTGCTTTAAAAAAAAAAAAAAAAATGTAATTAATTACCTAGGTACTAAATAGTAAATACTAATAACGTTGTTGTTTTAATTCAATATTAAGGACATCGTATAAATACAATCAAATGTTTTGTTTTAAAATGTGAACCACACACCGATTAACCTTTTCACGTTATGGAATGGTAAAATAAATACATTGAAAACATATCAAAATTAAATTATTAAATAATATATTAAGCTTAATTTCGATCATTTAATGTAGTTATAAATAGCTAAATTAAAATTTCACTGACGATCACTTAGAGTAAGCGATTTTCATAAAGGTTAGGTAATATTAACACATTATATTTATATTTTATATAAGAAGTGATTGTGGCTAATTGTATTCAGCTTAAAGTATTAATAGAGTATTTATTATTAACTAAAAATAAAAAAAATTACTATTCATTAATATTGAATAATTAATTAAATTCAGATTCCAGGGGTATAAGGCAGACAAGGTATAATGTAAGTTAAATTAACCACCCCAGGCAGTTTTTTTATTATAAAATACTTACCTTAGGTAATTTTTAAAATTATAAATAATAATACAATATCAGCATATTATATAATAATTCTACCAATAATTTCTGTAGTATGTACAATATATTCTTGAGGGAACTAAATACAATTTATTATTATAGATAAGCTTAATTCTTCAGGTTTAAATTTTTTACTTTTGTAATATTATATCGATAGGTAGGTAGTAAACAAAATAATTTTCTAATTATCTAACTATATAAATTCGGTATACATCCGCTTAATAGGAATCACCTAAATGTCACATAGAAATTAACATATTTAATGAAAATAATTTTGTATTTGTTTATTAATTTAATTTAGATTACATTACAAAATTCCAAAATGTAAAATTTTTTCATTATTTGATCAAAAAAAATTTTAAGGTCAACTATCGTCTAACATAGTAACATGATTGGTTTTAAAACATCTGAGAATAAAGTTGTTACGCATTAAAACATTTACTAACAAGACTATCATTTTTCTCTTCATACATTTCCATATAGCATCATTTTATCGTTTCATAATACCACACATAGATATTTTATTATTTTTTAGGATTTTTTTCCATAGAGACAATTTGAGTAATTTTAGTTTCTGAGCGTGTCGATGAATGTAAATATTTTACAATGAAGTGTGTTTTTTTATTTATCATCTGTTGACACGTTTTATAGTAGGAAAAATAGTTCGATCTCTAACTTTGAGAGTGGATTCTGGTAGTAAATTGCATCAAGTTAGTACATTTGGGATGTAAAAATTAAAAGCACCTTTAAAATAATCAGAAGAAAAACCAAAATTATTACAGAAAAACACACACATTTTTTCAGACAAAATAAATTTTGATTTTTTTTTTGTAGGTCAAAAATGTATAACTGTTTAGACTTTAAATATTTATATACAAATTTACTAAACGAAATATAATTTTTAAAAATATTTTCATTACATTGGTTTTTTTTTTATTTGTTTATGTTTAAATATTTGTTTTAAAGTAAAAAAGTTTGAGAATATAATACAAAGTACCTCATTAGTTTTTCTTTTTCATACTATATTAATAAATAATATATAAAATATAAAATATATTCCTGCTTACAATTTTTTTTTTACAAACGTTTAGAAAGTTCAAATTTTAAAAAAATCACGAACATTTTTATATTACTTTATAGATAAAAATACATAAAAATGTTATAGCAATAATTCAAATTTAACAGACCCATTACAGTAACCTACTCAATGACTAAGCCCAATTGACACTGTACAGTAAATTCCAAGGTTTTTTTTTTCAAGTTTAAAAAGAAATTTAATGTTAGTTATACAATTCTATTAGTAACATTTACTACTAAGAGTAACAAAGACTTTTCCGAATCCTTATAAATAAAACTAAACTTATTGAGAGTACATAGATCTTCCAGTATCATTATCGTTAAGTTTCCTATGTCTCTCAAAAAATTATTGTACATTTCTATGAAATGTAGAAATATGCTACACTTTTATTTTAACGTTTAACATGTCAAGTTACTGTGTCAATGTTATTGTTATCATTTTTAACTTAGTACAATCGATAGTCCTAAATATAAAACAGTAATTCAAATCATAAAATGCAAAAATATACCTATGTAATAAACACATAAATACATTTGGTTTCGTTTCGTTATCAATATTTTCTATTAGATATGCTTGTTTGTGTTAATTGGAATGGAAAATAATGAATTCACATTAAACAAAAGAAAATATTTTAATAAGCTATTCTAACTAATTGGTCATTACGATTTTCCCTTGACAATTTGGAAAATAAAAATGTATAGTAAAATACATGATTTGGTTTGGTCTATATAAAAAACAAAACCATATGTAAATAATTATTACAATTATAATAATTTTCTCTCGTATAAAAATTAAGAGCACCGTGGTGAAACTAATTGACAAGTGACAACTGACAAAAACCATGATGAAACACAATAACACATAATATTGATTGATTTATATAGTAATCATACACTTAAGTTAATACAACTATGGATAAAATGCGAGGTACCTAAATGCTTTGGTAAATTGCTATCTTATGTTTCTTGCTTTTCAAAACATACTTATAGATATTTTTTGGCCCGATTGGTTAATAGTTCATCGAATAATCGAATCCTATAATAATTAAAACTAATGAATACAGTTAATATATTTAATGATCGTGTTTGGATTCACTTTGTAATATCATATCTTAACTCTTAGTACCCACAATTATTATATTTTTTTCCCATATTATTATCTATTAACAATAATAATAGAAAAAAAATTCGCGATGCAGAAAATATAGCCTACCAATTATAATATTATATTGGTTAAAGTATATATAAGATAGCGTTCAAAATACTTAAATTATATTATACCATAGGTATTTGGTTTTTTCCAAGTTAATCTTTTTCAAATTTCTCTATATCTACATATATTATTTTAACAAATAATATTGGTATTTGGTGGGAACACCTAATAATATAGTTGAACTTAAACTTAAATTCAACTTTTAAACCGACTTACTAAGGCTTTGCACCCGCATTAATTAGAACTCTTAATACCCATAGTAACCCCAACAGTCTCGAGTGACACACTAATATAAACAACAACTAACCTAAATCAAATACCATGGTCAACGCAAACTTGAAAATATTAGTATCTAATGGTCTCTGAAACCCTTCGCAGCATTTTACATCATCATACGTCGCTATTATTTTGATATATTATAGTTTTTGCAAAATATACCATCCACTCCGATTGTTTTTTAAACACCCCAAACAATATTGAATTCGTATTGATAGGTTTTACATAATGGATAGTTTTTCAGTCTATAATAACAATTTGTTGCATACAATACCAAAATAGAGATATTTTGACAGAGTTTGGCGTATGTACATTGTACTCAATAAATTATTAATAATAGATTGGCCAAAAAAGTTCACATTTACGTCTTATATAACATAAAGTGTGTGTTGGGTGCAGTGGCGTCGAAGTTTTTAAAATGTGGTCGGGCAATTTCAAAACTTTGCGGCTTCAATATCTTCATTATTTAATATAGATTAATATACATGTACTTACAATCATGGCTTAAATAATATACTCATGCTTATAATAAAGTTATTTTCAAAAAAGAGGTAAGCCACTGATGACATACATAATGTTATATTTATAATTTATTAGTGCACATTAGGTAATCTCCAAATAATATTATCATTTGTCGTTGGTATTTAAAATCAGCAAACAGGTTAAAAAATGGTCTAGAATCTATTTAGATAATTTTGTTTTAATCGAAAAAAAAATTATATAAAAATAAATAATAATAAAATAAAATACACAATTGTGAGTTAAATTGATACAATATATCATATTATATATCACCCGAGAAGAAGGTCGTATCTCTGTTTTCACAAATTTTTTTTTTCCAAGTTTTCATAAATTTTGTTGTGTAGTTTCCGCGAAAACAATCAAAAAAAAAACAATCAAAGACGTTCTATACAATAAAATGTAGTTACTACCGTCTTTGTGGGAACTACACAAAAATAGTTATGACAACTTAAAAAAAAAATAAAAAAATTAGTGAAAACAGAGGTACGGACCATCTTCGCTGCGGAGGGCGATATTATATACAGGGTGTTTCTGAAATGAATGAGGAAACTAGTATATGCGTACTCAGTGTGATGATGACCCAATGATGATTTTTTTGAAAACTTTTTTCTACCTTCAAAATCTGAGTTTTTTCAATTTATTTTTAGAACATTATCTTAAATGAAAAAATAAATACTCAAGTTGTATTTTTTGTAAAAATCTCATACGAATCGAGGTGTCACATCATTTTTGAGCTTGTCGCTCGTTTTTCACGCTCGAACCGCCGATTAAAAAAAAATGGTGTGGCACATCGATTTGTATGAGAAAACTACAAGATTAACAGTGGTGATAGTTATTTGTTAAAATTTAACATACACGATTAATTAACACATAAATTCGATCATTTAAGACTCTGTTAACCCTAATTATGTTATTATTTATCATTTTTATTAGTTGACAATGTAAAACAATGTGTTAATTAATCGTGTATGTTAAATTTCAACAAATAACTATCACCACTGTTTATCTTGTAGTTTATTATGTTGTAATATTTATTTACCATTTTCCATAATTTTTGTGCTCAAATAAAATAACTGTGTCAAATCATGGGGAATTTCAAATACCTAGCTGATTGTTCCAAGTGCAGAAAAAAGGTAGTGAATTGGTTATGGGATTCACTACCTGTTGCAATTTATAACAAAAAAGGCCCTACATACATTTTCATAGTAAAACATCAGTTTTATATAACGTTAACAATATAAACTATGTATAATATGAACCAAATCCAAACTGTGTAATCGTTTATGTTTAAGTTTTAAAATATATTATAAAGAATACAATGATTTATTGGTAGGTAGGTATGTGTTTTGAATTTATGCATAAGAATTAATTTTTATTTATTATTACCAATCGTATTATGCATCTTAGTGTTATTCCAACATTCATAAGATCCTGTTGATGGTATGAATATAAAAAAATTAAATCTAAAAATTAATCTTTAAAAGTGACTTATGGTATTATTATATCAATAAATTAGGTAGTCAATTGATTTTAGAAATTGAATGCATACCTACATTTTTGTCAAGAATAAGTCATCGTCCTCAAATATTTGATTTAATATTTTAAACAGTAGGTATATAGTACCTATTGTTTTGTGTATATAATTATTTGTAGGAAGTTAACTATGCCTTTATATTTGAATACACCTATAGTTATTCTGAGCAGCGTAAACACATTTAAGCGATATTTGACAGAACTCATTAAATAATAACAACAATTTATATTTTTTGGATTATTAATTGTATGACCTTCAACTTACACTAAATTATGATAAGGCATTTTAATCGTACTTAATAATAATTAATGGCACATAAAGTACAAAACTTACCCCATCCGATAGCCATATATGTTCGCAATCGCACTCTGTCTGTAAAAAATGTATCTACGACCAATATAAATAAATACATCCCTGAAAACCGATTCATTAGGTATTAAAATCGTGTAAATATTTTACGCATACATTTAATTTATGAGTTTTGAAGTTAATTTTGACCACTGTAGTCATTTAATCAACAAAAACAAAATGCATACATAAATAAATAAAACAAATAACAACACGCGGTTGTGTCTCTTGAGTGAACGTGTGTTATTTTAGGATTAGTGATAATAATTTAATTTATATTACGATGTTTACCTTCGATAAACGCCCAAAAATAATTTGTCATGGTGAAATAGTAAAGTGGTAACACCAACAAAGCACATTTAAATGTCCCCGTGTCGGTCAAATTCTGCAAAATAAACGTTTTTCTGATTAAAACAATTAAAACATTAACATTTATCATACAGAGATATAAATATTTACTGTAATTAAAATTGTTTCGTAATTTTATCTAATTTTATCAAATATATTATATATGATGATCGAATAATATATTATAGTTTTAACTTATAAACTTATAATTATATAAAGAATGATACAGTTTTAATCTTAGGGCAGAAATGAGGATAAAGATTTATCTATTATTAGCATTCCAGAATATTAATATTATAGAAATTTTTTAAATACCTACTATAAGTTTGGGTTTGGTATATTTGATATGTACCTACACTTATTCATACTAAAATGTATATTAAAAAAATTGAAATGCTTATATTTTAGAATAAAATTATTATTTAAGAGTTTGTTCTCGAAAACTTGAAAAATCTTATCAAATTCAATCATTGTAATTTGTAATATTCATACTTATCACATATTTATAAATACCTAACTGTGAAGTTATACATGGTACTAAATACTAATATATATATATTTAATCATGCTTGTGTAATTATTTAAAAAAAATGATTGAAATCTCAAATATATCTGAAACGATAAAATTTGAATATCACGTTAAAGAAAAAATAAGAATATTATTAATTAAGCATGATATTAAACGTACAATTAAGAATAACATTTAACATTTAAATAAAATATACAGAAACAAAATTTTCATTTTTTTTCCTAAAAGAAGATAATAATTAGAAGATACATAATAATACGAATAGATAGTATTTAAAAATTGACTTCTAAAAAACCGTGCCAATTATCAACATTAATTATTTTCAAATTCCAAACATATTTAAGTAACATGATCATCATAATTATTATAAATTAATATTATTCTGTATTATACAATATTTTTGTATTTATTTCAAAATAAAATATGAATAAAAATATTTTTTCTTTTTCTTTTTTTCGGCCCTAGTGTTTATATAATGTGTAATAATTGGACCTCTCACTACAAAATATTTGACCACTCTGCATTATATAATGTACCAGGACGATAATATTTTCGATAATGGATTGACACACAATTTTTATTAGTATTAATATTATTTCATAAATTAGTTTGAAATACCTACTCTAGTCTATTAAGACTCACGGATATACTAATTTCTGTACGTACTAATAAAGTATTTCATGATAGGTAGTTTTCATTGGATAAAAATAAAATTCTTTCCCCATGACACGTCAAATTAAATGAGTATTATATTATAATCAAGTTTAAGTCTATAGGTATGTAATATGTATATATCATATACCAACATAAACTTAAAGCAGTGACAAAGTGGTATCCGGAGTCCGGACATTTATTATCATGCATTTTTGCTATTTTAACTATGGTAATATTCAAGAATTGCTTATAATTTTATTCGTACCGATATAGGCTCCAATCAGATATTCATATCATAGTGTTTATTATCATACAAATTAAGTTATTATTTTTAAAATAGGTATTATAAATTGCATCGGTTTGATCACTGCAGATTTTCAAAATTATTAAACATTTAGGTAGGTATAACCTAAATTATCATAATGATTTATTATTGAACAAAATAGTTTTTATTTTGTATACTATTAGTATTAATATTAATATTTGAAAAATATATTTTAATTTTAATTATACACATTGAGCTTAATACAATAAATATAATAATTTATTATAAACCTCGAAAATGTATTGTCTTGAATAAGAACAATTTGTTTGAAAAGTAATTATTACATTTTTGAATACATTTTCGTTTCACGAAATTATCAAATTAAAGTGTAATTATCTTAAACAACTTTACAAACGCATTACGAGTACCAACTATGGACTTTGAGCTAGAAAATTAAACAGGTTATTTATTAATACAGATTAATTAATTGTCGACATACAGTGTAGTTAAGTATCCACATGATGCCTGCTAATAAGTACGATGCCATCAAATTCGAGTGGATTTTGTTGCGCAAACATTTCAGTTCTCTATGGAATAATAATATACAAAATACACAGATTATAAATATTATTGTTCGATAAAAGTAGCTCGTTTGTATTGTACTTCTCACTTAAATCGGCAGAATACAAAAATGGCCAGTGATGTCATTATTAATGATAAACAATGACCTGCTATATACAAATAAATAATTGTATCAACAGTGCCTTCTTCATCGTATGTCACTGCTTTTGGTTCACCAAGAATCGTGCACTCGTTAAAATCGGTTAGGCCCCAAGTATTGTTCTCGTAGCATATCCGACTTGCATTTTCTAAATAATAATTAAAAATAAAAATAATAATTATATAATATTGTTCTACAAGATGTTTCCACATTTATATCTATAGTTAGTTTATAATGACTCTCTTTATTAATTATAAACTACTTTGAATTTTCATACAAAAAGTATAAAATCCTCCCCGGATGCTAAACATTTTTAATTGTGTTTGTTGGCCAACACTAGGAACCCACTTTACAACATAAAAGTCCTAACTCAAATTGCCAGACAAGACAGTCGTCAGGGGTATTAAATATTAACAGAAAAGTAAGACACTTTAAGTTATAAGCAAAACTAAAAACTATATACCCTGCCAAACAGATTTGATGTCACTGAAAATCAATCAAAAAATGAAATAAATTAAAAATTCCGGAGAAAATAGCATACATTATGTATTACCATAACTACCTTATGTATGGACAAGGAAAACCAACAGATGAGCCTTAAGATAAACACCAGAACAAATGTTCTAACATAGATATGAAGCTATTTTAGCTTATATCACATTTGAAAATAGAAATGGAATGCGATGGATCCATGAAACATTCGTAACGCCGTACAAGAAAAATAATGTTTTAGTTGTAGGATTCTATAGATATAAAAATATATTATGGTATTTCGAATTTTGAAGAAAAATTTCACAATTTAATCATTTTCTCGAATCTACTCCAAGCATAAGACAACTGTCGGTTCAATTAGAAAATAATTTTAGGAATACAAAATGTACGTTGCTTTCTAAATATAATAACATATACCCCTACTGTCTGAGTGAAGCAAGACGAGTAATTAACATGACAATATCTTGTTTCGTTTATATTATTACTCTCAACAGTTTACCAAAAACCGTGTCCAAACCATAGAGTAAGAATATATAGAGAGGCCATGTCGTATATTACTCTATCGAACAGATTGAAGTAAGGAAAAAGGGGACCTTCAGAGTAACCACTTCATTAATATAAAACTATTGTACACGGTTATTTTTATTATCAATATAATCTTTTGATAATAATGCAATAATAAATATTAATAATATACATGAACTACTACACAGGACTGGACACTATTGGCAGGAGGAGAGTAGGGGGTCGTCCACAAAGTTGTACATATTCGGTACACATGCGACACAGCGCCATCTGTGAGATAAGAAATATTTTGTTATATAAAATACCGCCTTAGTAGTTCATGCTTAAACTGTTCACTCTTTAAGCAGTAATTATTTTCTGATAATATTCTATAAATAGTATCATTATTATCTTGAACTGTGTTATTAATAATTGTTTTTCAAAAATTAAAAAGTAAATTTATTATCAGTTATTATCACTAATATCACTATTCTTTAGTGTTATCCTATAAAAAACGTAGTTCGTACTACTAACAGGCAGAGTGCAGTTACATCGCATGTGTACGAACCCTGTACAACTTTGTGTCCGTGATTTTCTCTGTAGTGTCCAGTCCTGTGTAGTAGTTCATGATAATATATTTATAATAATATTCTATACTTAATTTGTACAGTGGTACAAACATAATAATACTACTGATAATTTGTTTTTATTATTTGGTCACTATGAAGCTCCCCCATTTCCTTGCTTCACTTGTGTTGACTAATAGCCACCACTTGGTCCAAACTAAGGATATATTTATCGGAAACATACGTTTCTAAATAAATGGTATAATTATGTTATTATAAAATATAATAATAATTTACATGGATGTATCATTTTGTAGGTAACTGTTTTAGAGTTTGTGCCATATAGTATATAATTTTGACGTATACCAGAAACAATTCCTTTTTATTGTGTAATAATAATTAAATCCTTTTATTAAACATTTTTTATGTTACCCATAAAATCTAAATGCTCTTTTGCATAGTTTTGAAAGTTTCTGAAGCGCTGGTATATAATATGAAACTTTCATAAAGAGTTCTGAGAAGAGGTGCACATTTATATTGTATAATTGTGACCCACGTTGTCGCTGATTAATAGACGTACCTACCTCGGTTTTGTTACCTTGATTTTTGCATTTACACTACACTATTTAGAAATGTGTTCAATTTATTTTTTGTAGTTGAATCTACTCTACGAATAGATATTATGTGCCGTATGTTTTGGTAATCGGTATTCTAAATCTATAAGTTTGAATGAGAGATACATACAATTGATAATAGTTGTAATATTTTTGAAGGAGGATAGGTAGGTTAGGCACGTGTACCCTCATATGTTGTCTCCGTCTTACAAGTTCGTAACATAGCAAATTCTATGCAAAGCAGAACACGTGTAGTTCCGTTGGTTTAAAAATTAGATTAAATTGACCTCTTATAAAATCTAAAGGTAAGATTATTATCTAGACAAACTAATGGGCTTTTTATTATATTTTAATTTTTGAGAGAGCTATGAGTATTTAAAAATTGTAAATTGTTTATAGATCTCAAAGTACTCATAACTAGCTTAAAAATTAAAATATTAAAGAAAAGCCCATGAGGTTGTCTAGATAATAATCTTACCTTTAGATTTTATAATAGGTTAATTTACTCTAATTTTTAAATTAACGGACCTACACGTGTTTTGCTGAGCGTAAAATTTGCCATGTTATGCAATTGTGAGACATAGACAACAGGTGCGGGTATCACGTCCTCTTGACAGACATACTTATAAGTTATAATATACTTTATGATTTTTCTTATTATATTCGTTTAAATACCTAGTAATAGTTTATATTATAAAATATTATATTTTGTTCTGTCTATTTACTAATGTTTAAGTTTCTTTGTAAACATACTTTAAAACTGTAACAGGACTAACGTCCGTATGTTTGAATAAAATAAAATACGAAATATTCATATTGTACACATATAATAATATAATGGTGTGTATAATTTGTTGAAATTTGTTGAACTAATTTATATTTATTATTTAAGCTACTCAAAAACATCGTTATTTTTTATGATGACTATATTTATGATTATGAACACGTACGAAATTATTTTGACAAACACATCATTTTTAATTACCGTATCCGGTTTATTCATCTCAATGTCAGAAGTAGGAATACCGAATAGGTACCTACTGAATACGTAGTATACAAATATACAAGTATCACGTCATATATAGTTAGATAATGTAACAACATCATAAAAGCAGTTTTTGAAAAAAAAAAACTCACTCATGACGTTGAATAAAATCTTACATAAAGTTTTATTAATATATATATATAATAAAATATAACTTGGTTTGGTTTACCGCGGTAGTTGCATTCAGTCACGAAACGTGTTCTGAGGGCAAGTACCAGTCGGTGTCACAAATCCCCCCCTACAAAAATCAAATGACCATAGTTACCGGGCTTAAGATCAATAAAAAAAAATAGTATGCTAATACTACTATTAATAGTCTTAAGCAAGCCTTTATAGTTAAATAGCCTAAATAGGTAGGTATTTAAAGATTATATAAAAGTATTCTTTTGTAGGACAATCAAAATTGAATAAAACAAAAATACTCCACAAATTGTTCAGTATAATACTATAATCAGACTATTATATTGTATTGTTTTAATATTATTAATACCTATAAATATAAATACTTGGAAACAAATTATAAATATCCGTGTAAAATTTTGAGCAAATATTAAAAAAAAAATGAACCTGGACAAGATAGTACAGTTTAATTTCTATTATTTTCAATTATTATTTGTTTCTGAGTCCATAAATTATAACCATTTATTAGTGCATTCCAAGAAATATATTTATTGCTATTTAACATTAATATTATTATGAGTGTGACGTGCTTATGTTAAATATACTGGTTCGGTGAGAAATAATTTATACAATGATATACCTTATTGTATTTATGAGGTATATATATACTATACCTATATACTATATAGTATATTATATATTATGTATCGTGAATCAAAATACAATATAAGTACCTACCTAACGGGGTGCCACCATTGGGTGACTTCCCCCTCTCGTCAATCAAACCACATAAAATTTACTTATTGTATAACGTGTAAGTACAGATTATAAATATATATTTTTGTTAAATAAAAAAAAAAAAAGTACCTACCTACCCAATAAACATATAAACCTTAAATAAAACATTAATTAAAACTAAAAAAACAACATTATACATTTAACTAACCATTTAATACTCATTAAATTGTATTTTAATAAACATTTATAGACCTTATATTAAACATAATTTGAACCAATTTTTAAGACTTGATAACACAGTATACTGCAAGGTTTAATTCAACATTACACCACAATGTTATCAGACACATTATTGCATATTATTATAATATAACATACCATCACTTTAATTAAGTTATAAATATTCCTTGCCAACCAAATATTTAAAGATAAAATGTGAACATTTTACAGTGGAAATATTTTAGTAAAATAAAAACCTGTTAACAAGACGTATGTTAGGTACAATTTATAAGTATAAACCAGAAAAAATTCAATACAAAAATTGATGTTTGCATATGTTTGAAAAAAAAAGAGGACATGAATAGTTTTTTTAATTTTTATGTTTATCGGGTCCAGAGAAAATATTTTAGTGGTTTTATAATATTTTAATAAATATTATTTAATCAGGTTCGTTATTTACTTACTAGATGTATCATATAATATTCCTCTGAGCTCTTGAAAACATGGCTGATATACGATTACACCAGCTGGTGTAGGAGGCCAACATATCAGTGAATCTGATGATGCATTACACCCGTTTATCCAACGATCATCCCATTCGTACCAAGACCTGCATTTGAGAGCAGCCTAGAAATTATTTATCAATACAAATTATTACATTTTATATTGAATTAACATAATTTAATCACCTTATCAAGAATTTGTAGGATAAAGTGGAAATTTTTATTAAATGTCAGCCACCCACTTATAATAACGTTAATATCGTTTAATTTTTGGATAATGGAAAATATAAAAATTCTTACTTCTTCGTTCGGTGACCAAGTTTCATTGAAATAATCCATACTGATTTCTCATGCTGAAATTGATAATGGATATCAAAAATAAATATTATCTTTGCGTTTTCATTTTCTGAAAAAAAAAACCCATTTATTCTGTTAAATTAATTGTAGTTTGACAAGGATGTTACAATGTATACAAAACGTCGAAACCCGATTATTAATGGAAGGTATAAACATTTTTTTTTTCAAATCTACTATAATATATAAATCCAATGTATTATACATACGTATATTGAATGCATAAAATATACCATAATAAGCATACTAAATATTTAAGAGGCAAACCGTTTAATCAACAAAGATAATCTACAGTGACTTTATCACGGTGCACCTGAAAAACTTAATGTACAGAAGGCAGTGAATCCTTCTCATAAATCAACGTCATAGTCTCATAAATATAATTTACTTATCGCTTAACCATAACAATATTATTTCTAAGGTTTTGATTTTACTCCTATGGCCTAACTTACAACTGGTATCATAGTTTAACTTGTTTAATAATTTAATATTTTAATTATAATTTCATTAAGTCATGGTGTTTATAAATATATAAAGACAAATTACATTACAATATTAGTTACAACATTATATTATACATAATTTCAATATGAATTTACTTTGGTAATTAAAAGTTTCAATTTAGTTAGGTAAGTATAAAATACTACTTTACAAGATATTCTTTAGATATAAACTTGATAATAAATAATTCATTCAGCAACTGAATATACCTTTAGCACGAGCTCGTTGACAATATACCTATAGGCTATATAATATATAAACTATAGTCGCATATACCTATATTATAATGTATGTCTCGGGCCAAGCACATAAACATGGGAATAATGTATAATAATATGATCCGTAATAGGTAACTTATAAGTTTAATAACAATGTACCTAGTAATTATACTAACTTCGTGATGTTGAAAATAATATAACGATTTAATTTGTACCGTACACCAAATTATATAAAATTATATACTTTAAAAGAAAGTTATCTACAGCCAATATATATATATATATTTGTATATTTAAAGATACAGATATTGAAGAGAAAAATGCATATTGTTTAAATACATCTCTCGCCAACAAGCATAACCATAAAAGAAAAAACAATAGAACTCACAATGCCACCGTTCTGATTGTTAAACTCACTGTTATGGAAGAAAAACAATATCTTAACATGTCATTTTTAATGTAGATTGTAATATTGTTAAAAATTTATCTATTTTTATATCGGTAATTGGATAGTAATGCAATACTGAATATAACCTAGAAAATATCATGGCAGATTTAGTTTTTAACCGGGGGAGTATTAAAAAATGTCTTATGGGGTGGGGGAGGGAAACACAAACAAACAATTAAAATTATACATAGTTATAGCTTAAATTTTCCATCTCAAAATAATTCAATAAAAAAGTATAAAATATTGTGAATGGGTGGGGCATGTGCCCCATGTACCCCCCTTAAATACACAACTGATTGTTACTTTACATATAAAGAACTATTACAGATTTTATGACTTGTAATAAATTATACTATATAATATTTTGAAGTAAGTGCTAGCTGCGATAATTTACTGCCTGTAACTAATTTAGTTTATGAGTTTATGACAAAAGAGTTAATTAAATACGCGTAGAACATACATATGGTGAGGATGGAAATTTGTTATATAAAAATGATAGGGAAGTGATATTAGTGCAAATCAAAGTGCAACTTGAGCCACGTTTCTAGTTGCAACTCAATTTTTTTTTTAATTGCATCTAGAAAAATAGAAAATGTATAGCGGAAGTTGTTAAATCATTTTTGAGGATGTTATAAATTCTGAAAACACAAGACACTAATTACCAAATAGTTAGAGAATAATAGTAAAACTATTTTTCAAGTTAGCAAAACAGAATTTAATTTTTGACTTAACTTGAAACTTAACTAGAAACGCAACTGAAAGGTGCAACTAGAATCGCCATTCAAAGTACAACCAAAAACGCAGCTCGAGTTGCACCTTGAAGTGTCAAATGGCAACTTATAACAAATTTATTGACTTATTTTTGAAACATAGGTAATTTTTACATTTGGTGGTGGTCTATCAACATTGCCAACGTCATCATAGATATAGTGGTATTTACACTCAACTTTATTTTTATTTACACTTTTAACAACCTATGACTTATGAGGGACCTTGTATTACATTTTCAAGTTTTTTGATCAAGCGTAAAATTATTTATCTACGAGCCAAAAAAATCTTAAATGTATCATCCTTATAAATGGCTTAAAAAGAATCAAACTTGGCATGGGAAATGGTCATATAAATATTTAATGACAGTTTAAAGTATCGTTATTCGTTTTAGAGTAACTAAAAAAAAAAATACTTACTTGAAAATGTCTATTTTTTCTTATTTTTTTTTTGTTTTTCCCTTCGTTTTTGAATATTACTAAATAGTAAATAGTACTTTGAAGCTACTGATAAGTGATATTATGCAAAATAATGACCGGAATAATCATTTAGCATATATTCCCGCCAGTTGTCGTTCCTTGGTTAAAGTTTAAAAAAAATTAGAAACATAAAATCGAACAACAATTGAAAATCTTGCGATAGTGGGAAATGCAGCAAACAAATTAAATTAAGTTCAAGGAAAATTCGGAGCTATAAAAAAAAATAAATTAAACTACATACTTGATAAAAAGTTGCTTTATACAAAATTAAAACTATTAGATGTATTCTTCTGAATAAAAATAAAAATACGTCTGTAGATATTGAATTAAGAACATCTATTATATTATTATCAAGTATGAAATATGCCCAATTATCCTCGGTCGACGCTCCTTCAACTGCTAAGTCAATTTTGTTACTTAACCAAAGTTAATGTTGTATTAACATTTATATTTTAAAATCTCCATAATATAATATGTACGTTCTATCCAATTGTTTCCAAGAAGACAACAATGAAGATGATTAGATGAATAATTATTAATTAATTATTACAATTTCAAAAAAATGTATACAACACACCTATAATATGGCTATATCTACAACAGGTACCTTTTGCCTTTTGTACATGATTATCATTGATAAATAATTAAAAATTAAATTAAATTAACTAATCGATTTTTTTTGTAAAATATTTCATGTTTTTTAATAGGTAGGTAGGTATACATTTTGGCAAAAATAAGAACATAATATATATTTACATCATTTGACTTTTTTTATTATACATAAAATTCCACACCCTATTGACAAACAAGTAGGTACATGCAGTTCAGAATTCCCAGGGGTGGCAACGGCCTCTCACCACAATCAGGCGCCCATGCGTTTGGCTTAACCACATATCTGTATTTCATAGTACCAAACATTGCCTATTTGTACCAAAAAAATTAATTTGTATTGGGTTTAGGCGGTTTAGCCCATCTGTGGCTAAACAGGAAAAGTTATATATTTATTAACAGCAGTTTTACATCAAATTTACTAGCATGTAAAATTTTCAGTAATTATTGTTTGATAATATTAACAATGTTTCGAAATTATTACGTATGTACAATAAATAGAAATACCTATAAGGATAAAATCTTTCAAACAAATATATTATATTTATTAAATAAGGGAATTAAATTTTACACGATATTAATAAATACCCAATTTTTTTAATTTTATATCTAAAAATAGTTAAATAGTAGTATACTTTTTTCCCCGTTATTATAGTGAATAATACACACCTATGTTTTATGTGTATTAGAATCATGAAATAAATGAAAACTGAAAGTACATACTTAAAAATTACATCGTTCATATAACGTTATATCGTTCACAATAAATGTATAATATAGAAACGGGTTGTATTCATTAAACTTTAGTAATTGACTACTAAGAATCTAACAGTACATTAAATAATAATTCTCAGTAGATCGACTACAGACGTACACTCGAATTTAATTTTTCACTTGATGTAGTAAGTGTATAGGTATTGTTCGAAATTAAGCGATGTAGTGAATTGTAGTGAGTTTAGAAGCCAAATGTATTCGACGGAATGACTTTGAGAATATTTACTTACATGCATTTAGCAAACTATGAAATGTTAAGACTTAAGAAGGACTTTATGGTTAAAATGGAATCGAAAATTACAAACAAGTTGAGACCGTCATCACGATTTGTCAAAAGTTGAATCTAAAAAGTAATGGTTGTTTGGTTAAGTTTGCTGGGAATCGTTTACGCAACAAGTTATTTTTATGTTATGGGCTGGTAGTTATGTCTAAATGTCTAATGGTTATCATAAAAACCCTTTAATAAATTAAACCAGTATTTATTTTTAACAAAGCTTATTTTCAACAGAATAGTTTATTCACATTTTGTGTTTGGTTGTTTAGTATAATATCAACCTTTGCATCTGCTCGCTGCATACTTTAACACATTCACATACAATTAAATATAATTGTATTATTTGTGTACCAAAAATTATATATTGTTTAAGTGAATTTGGGGAATGTGAAAAACAAGCAATTTGAAAATTTGAAAGTTATGTCAGATATTATTATATGATGATGTATGACAATAAAAAATAGCTGGAAAATGCTATTTCCAAAACTAAAAACACGGTCAATATCATTGATACACATCATCCACAATTCCCAAAAAATTTAAAATTTTAAATAACAATTATTATTATTTTAATATACGTATTAAAAATCAAATCCATAAATATCAAAACACTTAATTTATCATATATGTTGTATTGTCATGTCTAGGGAAATTACCAATATATAGTATCATAGTCCATAATAATATAATATATTGGTCCATATGGAGAAGTGAGGACCCAAGGAAATTTATTTTATTTGATTAGAACTGACGAATTGACACTTGTCGGCTTAAAGCTGTTAATAGGTTATTCTATTTGGTGTGCATCAGAAGTTAACATTAATTTAATAAATCACTTCGGCCTAAAGCGTTGAACGTAATCACAGCAAGAATATACGGAGATGATGTGAAAATACTGCTTGGTGCTTGTTTTG